TGACAGGGAGAGGCCGGAGCGGTGGCACGGGCGTATGGTCCGCGCGCGCCGCTGGGCCCGGTGGCTCGGGCGTGTGTCCACGGCGTTGGTGAACCAGGTCCAGGGAGGGCCGCGCTGGCGGGGCAGGGGTCGTGTGGCGGCCGAGCGGCGGAGCACGGCACCGGATGGGGTTCGCGACACGTGGCTTTTCCTGGAGAAGCGCTAGAGAACACAGATTTTTCATCCTTCCATTTATCGGGTTTTTTCCTGCCGCAGACGGGACGGAGACACCGAGGATGGGCCCGGGCCGTCCAGACGCGATCCGACGTCACCCGGCTGCGGATCGAGCGGCGCGGAAGCCCGGGCCCGCGGGCCCAACGGCCCCCCGTTAACTCGCCTCACTCCTCGCACTCGCTCCCCGTAGCGTTCGCATCTCGTGAGTCGTCTCGCCATGGCCGCGTCCTCCCTGCTCCGCTCGCTCTCCCGCGTCTCGCGCCGCGGCTGCGCGCCCGCGTTCTACGGCCGCGGCCCGCTCTCGCCGCTCTCGACCGCCGCGGCTGCAGCGGCGTCCGACGCGGGGGATGCTGCGGTGCTGCGGAGGGGGCTCGCGGGGCTGGGGCCGACGGCCAAGGGGGAGAAGCCGCGGGTGGTGGTGCTCGGGACGGGGTGGGCGGGGTCGCGCCTCATGAAGGACCTCGACACCACCGGCTACGACGTCGTCTGCGTCTCCCCGCGCAACCACATGGTCTTCACGCCGCTGCTCGCCTCCACCTGCGTCGGCACGCTCGAGTTCCGCTCCGTCGCCGAGCCGCTCGCGCGCATCCAGCCCGCCGTCTCCACCTCCCCCGGCTCCTACTTCCTCCTCGCCCGCTGCACCGCCGTCGACCCCGACGCGCACACGGTGAGCCCGGTTCCTCGGTTGGTTCGGTTGGTGAGAGGCGCCGCGCGCGTTGATCCTGTCAGTCAAACGGAGGTCGCTTTTACAGATGTGGAATGTGTGTCCCCGAGATTCGTGGAAGGGGATGATGCTCTATGCGCAGCTGTGCTTGACCTTTTCTCATGTCCATAACCACGTCCGATCTTTTTGGATATTGGGTGGGGAAAAGGAAGAGGAATCTGCGCTTTACTCCCATTCAGCAGGCGCTGCATGTCTATTAGCCTATAGCTCTATGTGGCGGTGCTAATGGAATGAGAAAGACAGAAAAGTTATCACCAGCTCCCACTCATTTATGACTTTGTGGATATTTTTCTTTTGAGACAATTGTGGATATTTTTCTAACTGTACTAGCTTTAGAACTTCATTTCCCTTGGGCCAAAAACTGTTCACATAAACACGGGGAAATCAGCTAGAGGGGAAGGCAAACTTGTTCATTTTAGTTCATCACAATTCAGGCCTTCTACTTTTTTAGAAAAAAATCACGTTATACACCTGAGACTTCTATATCATTTTAGCTAGTTCATGCATTGGCATTACTTACCTTTGCTTGTTAAGAGTCTGTCTAATAGAAGACTCACTCTGCAACTTAGACAGTTCCTGTTGGCTTTGTGCCTAACACTCCTCAGCATCTCTATCACTATAAGAGGGAATGGCTCTTCACAATTTTGAGCGGTAGACATTTACTTAAGAAGGATTTGGCATATTGCATCAATTTTGGAGGAACAACATGAGTGTTTCTCATTTTCTTCCCACAGTTTTTCCATCGATTTATTCAAACTCCTCTGGCTTCAGATTGATTGCGAGACAGTCACTGAAGGTGAGAAAGATACCTTGAAGCCGTGGAAATTCAAGGTTTCGTATGACAAGTTGGTCTTTGGATGTGGAGCTGAGGCATCGACTTTCGGTATACGTGGTGTTACTGAACATGCAACCTTTCTTCGGGAAGTTCATGATGCTCAAGAGATCCGCAGGAAGCTCCTTCTGAATCTGATGCTGTCTGATGTACCTGGTATGGTAGCAGCTCAATATGTATCTAATTACCCTCTGGCACAAAGTCGTCAATTATTACTTCCGCGTGTTGCTGTCTCTGTATAATGTTTTTTTTTACTTAAGTCAAGTGGATACAGTTGCGTGTACTTTTTGTTCAATGAATTTTGGATAATTCTATGCCATCTCTCATATGCTTCATTACCGTACTTTTTGTTCAATGCATTTTGGGCAAATCATTTTTTTATGTCTCATATGCTTCATTCTCAGAATATACCTTGTGTGCAGAAACATTTAATACCCATTTGATTATCGCTTATGGATCAATGCTATTTTGTTAAACAGGCATATCAGAGGGCGAGAAGCGCAGACTATTGCACTGTGTTGTTGTTGGAGGTGGTCCAACAGGGGTTGAATTTAGCGGGGAACTTAGTGATTTCATCATCAGAGATGTGAAAGAACGTTACTCACATGTGAAAGATTATGTCCATGTGACCCTGATTGAGGTTTTTGTTGTTGATTTTCTGATTTGATCCCTACTCTTGTGAATTTGGGGCTTAGCAACTGGTATTCTGCTTTCATTTCAGGCAAATGAGATATTGTCATCCTTCGATGTTCGCCTGAGGCAGTATGCTATAAACCAACTAGTTAAGGTCAGTAATCTTTGTTCGGTATCTTTAGCCATCATCAACCAAGACTTGGGGACCAGTAGATTTTCAAATAAGGCATTCAGATCGCCCCATGATATACATAGTTTTTTTTTTTTCGGGAACATGATGTACATAGTTGGTACTTGTAATAGCTGTGTATCATTCTCTCCCATGTCATTTGGAATATGAATATAACCTGCCCTTGCATGGTCATCGACCAGTCAGGTGTTAGGCTTGTACGAGGAATCGTGAAGGATGTACAACCTGACAAATTAATCCTGGACAATGGAGAGGAGGTTCCTTATGGTTTGCTGGTATGGTCTACTGGAGTTGGTGCTTCATCATTCGTCAAGTCATTGCCATTTCCTAAGTCACACGGAGGAAGGTATAATTGATTGGTAGGACCTTATAATTAATTTACAT